CCTCTCCCTCCTACTACCCTTTACCCACTGGTAGGCCCCATTGTGTATTGTTCCCCTCTTTGTGTCCCAGTGCTCTCATCATTTAGCTCCCACTTATAAGTGAGAACAAGCAGTATTTGGTGTTCTGTTCCTGCATTGTTTCCTAAGGATCTTGACCTCGAGCTCCAACCACGTTCATGCAGAGGACATGATCTCGCTCTTTTTTATGGCTGCATAGTATTCCATGGTGTATATGTACCACATTTTCTTCATCCAGTTTTCCGTTGATGGGCATTTAAGTTGGTTCCATGTCTTTGCTATTGCAGATGGTGCTGCAGTGAACATTTGTATTCGTGTGTCTTTATGAAAGAATGATTTTTGTTCCTTTGGGTGTATACTCTGTAATGGGATTATAGGGTTGAATTGCAGTCCTGTTTTTGGCTTGTTGAGGAATCACTGCCTTCCACAATGATTGAACTAATTTGCCTTCCACAGTGGTTGAACTAATTTACACTCCCACTAACTGTGTATAAGCATTCCCTTTTCTCCACAACCTCATCAGCATGTGTTATTTTTTGACTTCTTAATAGCAATTCTGACTGGTGTGACATGGTATCTTACTGTGGTTTTGATTTGCATTTCTCTAATGATCAGTGATGTTGAGCTTTTTTTCATATGCTTGTTGGCATTGTGTATGTCTTCTTTTGAGAAGTATGTGTTCGTGTCCTTTGCCCACTTTTTAATGGTTTTTTTTTCTTGTAAATTTACATTCCTTATAGTTGCTGGATATTAGACCTTTGTCAGATGCATAGTTTGCAGATATTTTTTCCCATTCTGTGGGTTGTCTGTTTACTCTGTTGATAGTTTCTTTTGCTGTGCAGACGCGCTTTAGTTTAATTAGATTTCATTTGTCAATTTTTGCTTTTGTTGCAATTGCTTTTCACGTCTTCATCATGAAATCTCTGCCAGTTTCTGTGTCCGGAATGGTATTGCCTAGGTTGTCTTCCAGCGTTTTTATAGTTTTGGGTTTTATATTTAAGTCTTTAATCCATCTTCAGTTGATTTTTGTATATGTATAAGGAAGGGGTCCAGTTTCGATTTATGCATATAATTAATCAGTTATCCCAGCACCATTTATCGAATAGGGAGTTCTTTCCCCATTGCTTGTTTTTGTCAGCTTTGTCTAAGGTCAGATTGTTGTAGGTGTGCACCCTTATTTTTGGGATCTCTATTCTGTTCCATTGGTCTATGTGTTTATTTTTTATACCATTACCATGCTTTGGTTACTGTAGCCCTATAGTATAGTTTGAAGTCAAGTAGATTGATACCTCCAGCTTTTTTCTTTTTGCTTAGAATTGCCTTGGTGTTTTGGACTCTTTTTGGGTTCCATATGAATTTTAAAAGTTTTTTTTCTAGTTCTGTGAAGAATGTGATTGGTGGTTCGATAGGGATAGTATTGAATCTACAAATTACTTTGGGCAGTATGGCCATTTTAGCGATGTTGATTCTTCCTAGCCATGTTCATGGAATGTTTTTTCCATTCATTTGTGTCACCACTGATTTCTTTCAGCAGTGTTTTGTATTTCTCCTTGTAGAGATCTTTCACCTCCCTGGTTAACTGTATTCCTAGGTATTGCATTTTATTTTATTTTATTTTATTTTGGTGGCAGTTGTGAATGGGATTGCATTCCTGATTTGCCTCTTGGCTTGATTGTTGGTATATAGGAATGTTAGTAACTTTTGCACATAGATTTTGTATCCTGAGACTTTGCTAAAATTGTTTATCAGCTTAAGGAGCTTTTGGGCTGAGATGAATGACTTTTGTAGATACAGGATCGTGTCATCTGCAAACAGGGATAATTTGACTTCCTCTTTTCCTATTTGGATGCCCTTTATTTCCTTCTCTTGCCTGATTTCCCTGGCCAGAAATTCCAGTACTGTGTTGAATAGGAATGGTGAGAGAGGGCATCCTTGTCTTGTGCCAGTTTTCAAGGGCAATGCTTCTAGCTTTTGCCCATTCGATATGATGTAGACAGCGGGTTTGTCATAGATGGCTCTCATTATTTTGAGATATATTCCTTCAACACCTAGTTTGTCGAGAGTTTTTAATATGAAAAGATGTTGAATTTTACTGAAAGCTTCTGTTGAGATAATCATGTTATTTTTGTTTCTGGTTCTGTTTATGTGATGAATCATGTTTATTTATTTGCACGTATGTTGAACCAACCTTACATCCTAGGGATAAAGCCTTCTTGTTCATAGTGGATTAGCTTTTTGATGTGCTACTGGATTCAGTTTGCTAGTATGTTGTTGAGGGTTTTTGCATTGATGTTCATCAAGGATATTGACCTTTTTTGTTGTTGTTGTTGTGTCTCTGCCAGTTTTGGTGTCAGATTTTCAGCTCTGTTTGGTCGGTTACTTTCTTTTCTTGGCTATTTGGCTGTCAGCTCCTGTATTTTTTTTTTTTTTTTTTCTTATTCTTAGTTTTCTTAGATTGGGTTTCAATATTCTCCTGAATCTCCATGATCTTCATTCCTGTCCATATTCTGAATTCTGTCATTTCAGCCATCTCAGCCTGGTTAAGAACCTTTGCTGGAAAATTAGTGTGGTCATTTGGAAAAAAGAAGACACTGCCTTTTTGAGGTCTTAGAGTTCTTGCGCTGGTTTTTTTTCATCTTTGCGGGCTGATGTTCCTTCAAGTCGTTAAAGTTGCTATCCTTTGGATGATTGTCTTTTCTTATTTTTTATTTTTTTCCTTTTATCCTACTTAATGTCCTTGGGCATTTCATTATGATATAAGGTGTATTCAGTCGACTCATTTTAGGAGGATTTTAGGGGGCCAAGGCTCAACTCAGGACTCCTGGACTGTGTGCTCTAACTCTTGGGGACTGGTGTCTGGGCAGGGCTTTGATCTCTGTTTCCTCAAGGTTAGGAACCTGTGCTCTGGAGGGTCCAAGGTGCTCTAGGACTGCTGCTCATAACTCTCTGATGGTTGGTGCCAGCCAAAGCACTTCATAGGAAAGTGGCAGTAGGATCTGTCCTTGTTGACACATGTCAGCAGCAGGGTGCACACTCGTCAGCTGCAGCAGGGTGCCGTCAGGTGCCAGGGTGCCAGCCTTGATGCAGGCGTCTATAGCAGCTGTGGTAGCAGCACAGCTTGGGGATTTGGGAGCCCCTACCTGAGGACTGTGTGCACATTCATACTGGTGGTAGTATTAGCACGAGACTGGGCAATGGTGGACGCAAGACCGTGTGTGCCCTTTGTGCCCATTCATTCTGGTGTCGGTGGCTGCTCAGGGCTGGGGGTGGGTTCGCTGCTTTTGGTGGCTAGTTCTGTGTTGGCAGCCCCAGCGCAGGGATGGGGTGCTGGCAGGCCCAGGGCTGGCGGGCTCCATGCCTCCTGACTCTCTGAGGACAATAGCAGGGAGGGAGGATGGAGTGCAGTCACGGCTGGCAGCAGTGACATGGCAGGGTGCACGTGCGCACATGTGCTGGTGGGGAAGGGAAGGCAGGTCCTCCTGTACACGCCCACAAAGCGTTGTGGTGGGTGGCCAGTGGGTGAGTGCCTGCAGGCAAGGCAGCATGAAGGAGGCTGCAGTGGGGGAAGAACGCTGCTGTATGTCCAACTGGGGTCACTCTACTGGAGCGCTCTGCTAGTCAGGCACAGTCTGCCAGCGCAAGAGCTACCATGTAGGCCCCCAGGAAGTACCTGGGAGCTTCACTCTAAGCAGGTGTGGCTAGGCTCGGGCCCTGGGAGAAGCCAGCAGACCAAAGGGTGACCCAGACTGGCCCCATCTCATGGGCAATACCACCCTGCAGAGTTGAGGTCCCACAGTTCCCCTAGGGATAGAGTCTTCTATGGGAGCAAGTCTAGCCTAAGGGTGTGGGCGTCCCTGGCAGTGCTACGCTATAGACACTCCCATACAAAACTCTCTGGGCTCTGCCCCAGCTGGAGTGCTGCTTCTACTGCTTCCCTAAGCAGCTTTCCCTGACAACTCAAATGTCCATAGTGGTCCAGGGGTCCCTTCCTACCATGATTCCAGAGGCCTGTGGTGAGAGTGAATTTCGTTCCTTGCCTTTTCAACTCACCCCCTCTGCAGGAGTGGTTGGGGGCCAGGAACAAGTTGTGGTGCTTGGTAGCCTCGAGCAGGGTCCCCAGCTTCCTCCCCCCTCAGCCCCGGCTCTATGTTTTCCCTCCATCTGTTCTCAGTGCCCTCCCTCTGAAGATCTAGGAGTGTGCCAGTCTTCCTGATGTCCCGGTCCCTCAGTAGGAGATGTTCCTCCTGGCTGTATCTAGTTGGCCATCTTGGAGCAGAAATTTCTAGGTTTTTTTTTTTTTTTAAATAAAAATGTATGGAATCTGTTATTGTGTCTACTTTTGTACATATTAGAAATTTTTAAGTGAAAATTTTTCTAACTCATAAATTTAAATGTATAAAGGAAATATACCGAAATAGTAGTTTCAGAATTACAAATGATTTTCCATTTCTCTGAAAGTCAAAAAAGTTATGCATTATTTTTTGAGAAAATGTTATATGACAGATGCATGTTACCATAGAAATGAAAGATGGAAAGAACCAAATCACCTGAGATATAGGGGTAGTTTAGGTAGAAATGGAGAGAGGGTAATGTGTCCCCAGAAGGAGAAAGGAGGACATTGATGACAGTTCTCCTGCTCAGCAGTGTTACAAGGACCCATTTTAATAAGCTACACATATGTATGTATACAGTATGCTCTGGTGAATTTGAGTAAGTATGTGAGCTTGCTATGTAAAAGCTAAATAAAGCTTTTTTCTGTAGACGATGCGTCTTTAAGAATGATTGTTGTTCTCTTCCACAACTTATACAGTCTTATCCACACAGAACATTCTCAAATATTAATGATTTATCAAAATCCAGTGAATTTCACATGATAGTTGAAACCTAGCAATATCTTTTAAGTAGAAAATGTTCTTTATTCACAATGGTTTTGCTGCAGATTAAATATTTCTTCAAGGCAGTTTGATTTGTATTCTCTGCAGTGCTATGAAGGGAAATCCTCCAAAGATATCCTGAAAAGAGTAGCTGCAAATGCGTTGATGTCACTTCTGGCTGTCAGTAGAAGAGCACAGAAACATGCTTTGAAAGGTGAGCCACGTGACACGTCAGCTGTGTTGATGGCATTATCAGCAGCTCATATGTTTTGTTGCTTGTTAAAGTTAATTTTCTTTAGACTCAAAATGTAAAAAACTTACAGTATAGTCTTAGTGTCAGTAAAAATCATTTTTTCATACAGAAGCAGTAAATATGCATTACTTTTCAAATAAAAAGATTAGACGTAGTTTTTTGTTTGTTTAATATGTGAGGTTCTTGCTCTAAAGAACCTATATGTAAATATTAGAGAAGCTAAAAGGTAACACATTGAGTTTCATTGTAATTAAATATTACTATCCAGAAGCACTTACTGCATACCTGAACAAAACCCACATGGTTTTGATGGTAAAAACAGCAACAGACAGTTCCATATTTTCTAAATTTCTCCTCTTGAGTGTTGTAATTTCTCATTTGGGAATCAGAGAACATAGATCTGAGAATTAAAAGAGAATAATGGCAACATCAAGTCCATTAATATCAGTTGTGATTTGCTACTAAAACAAATGATGTATTCCTCAAGTTGTAAATTGGATTTGGGGAGTATCTTACTAAAAACTGAAAACAAGTGGCCTTCAGCATTTTAGTACTCTTACTTTTCCCCCCTCTGATTCATTAATCTCTTACTGAAAATTCTAAAATGAAGTGGGTCAGAAATAGAGAATGTTACCTTTTTGAGAATCTGATTGGTATATGTGGTTTTAACTTAACTTGGAAATAGAATATCCTTTTGACTGCTATAGATTTTGTCTTTCAGCCAATCTTATAGACAATTGCATGGAGCAGATGAAACACATAAATGCACAACTGAACCTAGATTCTCTGAGGCCTGGGAAAGCAGCATTGAAAAAAAAGGTAATATTGTGGGATAAATGAATGGCTATATGTAGAGACCATTCTCCAGTCCCCTTGTGCCTAGAAATGAGCACGAGCTTGAAATGAGAAGCAAGGTAGAGATGGATTTAGAAGCAAGGTAGAGATGGATGAATTAATGAGATTTCTATGTTAGCAGATTGTTGACTTGTTTTGGTCTTAATTCTTACTTGAAGATCTTTAGACAACATCTGTTTATTATGTACTGTTGTTATTATAAAACATTGGAAATATCCACATATACATGATACTATGCCAGATAAATTTTTTATACTACAAAAAGAAAATCTTTATCTCAAAACAAGCGTAGGTTAACTAGGAATGAGATCTATAACAACTATAATTTATTAAGAGTTTTCTATATGTCAGCCACTATTGAAACCTTTAATATTTATTATCTCATGAACAAACACTCATTACAGCACAATCACACAGTTGGTAATCGTTGGAGCTAATATTTGCCCCATATCTGGGTGGTTGAAGAGCTGGTATTCCTCATCTCTGTTTATCTCCTTCTGTGCCCTCTGAATATCTCCTCTAGCATTGAGTCTGTTGGACTCATGTTTAAACTGCATGCTCAGATAAACTCAAAATAACATAGTTATTATATAATAGCTATGGTTAACAATAACTACTGTGGTTAACAAGATCTGCCACCCACTTATTCAGCAAATGAAAGTGTGTGAATAGTATAAATATATATACATATATGTGTGTAGGTAAGGCCGTTATAGCAGCACTCTATGTAATAACTAGTTTCTACTTCCCTTAATAAGAAACCAAGACAAAGTCTTATTTAATAGTGTAATCGATTCAGGAGATTGATTGTATGTTTATCAGTTTTTTTTTTTTTGTTTTTTTTTTTTTGCCTCTTTTCCTCTCTAGCCAAAGGCCCTTCATCATTGAGAAAGTCAGCCAACACCTGATATGATTGAAAACCTGTCAGTATCTGCCTCACTTTATTGAGATGAAACATGGAGGCTATCATATATCCGAGTTCCTCCATGCTTGATAGAACAGAAATAGCTTTTTCGTGGTGAATGTGCTTCTTGAGATATGGTCATCTTTCAGAGATCATTAGCCTGTCAGTTCCCTCAAAGTTACAGTGGTTGGGCATGATTAGAGCACACCTGCATTGTACTGTGACCCAAAGGGGAGGGAATTACTATACACAAAAATGGAGTATGTTGTTGCATTCACAGTTTTCAACTGCTTTTTGTTTAAATAGGAGGATGGTGTTATTAAAGAGTTAAGCATTGCCATGCAGCTCCTAAGAAACTGTCTTTATCAAAATGAAGAATGTAAAGTAAGTAGAGCTACTTTTCAAAATTTTAGTAGAAGTACTGGTATTAAGCAGTTTAATTTTTATATGAGATAATGTAGTAGGAAAAATGGAAAGCTCTGACTTTTAAATTTTTAGACACACGGTTGATTAGTCCTCAAACTCAGTGTTAATTGTCAGAAATGTGTGTATCTAATCTTGTTACTCATCACTGATTACATTTCTTGTGTTTATCAGTGTTTTATCATTGAAACTTTAACTTCACAAACCTCAGCCTCATTCTGTACTCTTAGGCATTTTAAGTGTTGGTTTCCCACCTATTTTAGGTATGGAATGAATGGCTGGATGTGTCTTATAAGGTAGATTCTTTCAAAATGGGTTGTTAAAACAACTCTGCAAGGAAATAAATGAAACTATCTGTATCTATAAGGAAATAAGAGTTTCCTGCTTCAAAGGAGAAGAGAGTTAGAACTGCTACCTAGTGTGGCCACATCCACTGAGAGGAAGTTGCTTCTAGCTCTGCTGACTCCCTGTGACCATTTACACAGCCCCTCTGTCTAGAAATCACTGAGATATTTTGCTTTGTCTGTAAGCATTGATGATATTTTAAACCATTGTATCAGTACTACTATAGAGGATATAATCTTTTGAACACTATGATTTGCTTTGTCTATAGTTTTACAACACTTTTGAAATACTAGATTAATGCTTTAATGCAGAAATACTAGATTATTCTTTATAAGAGCTGGCCATGAAAATAAAATTTAAAAAATACTAAATTAAAGCTTTAATATAGAAAGCAAAGATAAATTATAGAAACTTTTATTGCCTTTTAAATGTTTACCTGTTTTGCTCTTGTGGTAAGAGCACAACTGGAAAAACCATACCACATCTGGAAAAGGGACATGTTGAACACACTTACTCCTTACCCGATGTTAAAAAGCCAGAGCCATGACTCACAATTAATATTTCAGAGTAGTTTGATGGAAATTAAGTATTTATTTATACATTTTATTAAAATTCCCCATATATGAATTTATATGAACTTTTTCTCAAAACAAAAGTGCCATTAATAAACTTATGATTCCTTCATGCTTATGATATTATGCTTGTGACTGGATGTACAGTCAGTATTCATGTATATATGTAAATATATAAATTTCATGTGTGTGTGCAGTTAATATTCATTCATGACACCTTATTCAGGGAAATACTCTGGAATACTTTACATGTAGGATCTACCTATAAAGATTTATGAAATGCTAACCTGGCTGCTAGTTATAAATATTGTGCTCAATTTGTATCACATTAGGCATTTATAAAAGTGTAATATCTCAATAAGTCAAAGCATTTCTGTATTTCTAAATTGTTTAATAAGAAGTAAATCCAAAGAATACTTAGATTATCCTTGAGTATAAATATAATCTTACAGAGGTAGAGATTCTTAATTTCAATTTCAGCTTTTATCAGGTGTATGGCATGTTCTCATTATTAATAGTTGACCACTATTGGGTAATTCACCAGGTTACCCACTGCCACCCCACCCTGCTGTCTGCATATGCATAACATTAAGGGGTTTTCATACTGGAAGGATCATGGTGGCCGTGAGGTAAATGAATTAAATAGTGGATAAGGTTAGACGGAGGGGACTGTCATAGTCCAGACAAGAGATGATGACACCTTAACTTGAGCAGGTAGAAAGGAGAAGAAGGGTAGGGAGTAAACTGGAAGCATTGAAAAGAGGAGGAGGGATGTAGAATGACTTCCAAACTCCAGTTTAAGCTGCTGCATTATGATGCATTAAGAGTGCATGATAGAGCAGAGCACAGGTGTGAGAGCCCCGACATTCCTGCTTGCACCTGCTAGCCTCAAGAGTCTTACGGGCATCCAGGTGAAAAATGGCTTGTCAATGTGTAGATGGTGTTTGTGGTCCTCACTATTGTTGAAATTTCCCAGGAAAGTATGTAATGAAAACCAAGGTCGTATCTTTGGAAAATAGGAACATTTAAGAGAGGGCAGAAAACAACTGAGAAAGGAATACTGGAGAAGGGATTTGGAGATCGCATTAGGCCATTCTTGCCTTACTATGAAGAAATATCTGAGACTAGGTAATTTATTAAAGAAAAGAGGTTTAATTGGCTCACAGTTCTGCAGACTATACAGGACACATAGTGGCATCTGCTTCTGGGGAGACCTTAGGAAACTTGCAATCATGACAAGAAGGCAAAAGGGGAACAGGCACATCACATGACTAGAACTGGAGCAAGAGAGAGAGAGAGCTGGCGAGGAGGTGCTGGACACTTTTAAATGACCAGATCTCGTGAGATCACTCACTGTCTTGAGGCAAGCACCAAGCAATGAGGAATCCGCCCCCAAGATCTAAACACCTCCCACCAGGCCTCATCTCTAGCACTGGGGATTACAACTCAACATGAGATTTGGGCAGGGACAAATATCCAGACTGTCAGAGATGATCCAAGATAGAGCAGCAGCATGGAAATTAAGAAAGAAGAGACATACAGCAAGTGCCACAGTGCTTAAGCGTTGTTGGCAACCACAAAAGTAGGAGTGGCCTCAGTAGAATCTTTAGGGCAGAAAATAAATGGAAATGACCTAAGATTAAATGTGAGATGGGGAAATTATAGCAATAATGATGTAGAAGTTTGGTCATGAAAAGTGGCATTAATAATTTAGGACATATAGGATGAAAGGAAATGAGTATGTTTGTTTCTCTTAACATGTAAACTGCTTGAATACAGGCACAGAAATGAGCAAATTGGGGACGAGTTGTTTAAGAGATAGCAAGAGGAGAACTAACTGGTGGATTAAGATCCCTGAGGAGGCAGGAAGAGCTGTGCTCCAGAACACACAGCTGAATGTATGAATCTCTGGCAGGCAAGAAGTGGAGCACCTCTTTGTCACTGCCAGGCAGACAGGAGGGGTGAATGGATGAAAATACAGATAAACTATGTGGACAGAATGGCAGAGCAGATAAAGGAGTTTGTACTTAATCGTTTCTGTCTTCTCTATGAAATAGTAAACAAGGTCGTCTGCTGCAGATGGAGGGCTGTGTGCCACAGAGAGTGGTGAACGTGGGAAGAGCTTCAGGGAGAGCACTGGGAATGACCTCAGTGCTTACGGGGAGTGTCAAACGTTGGGACTCACTTCTCCTATTCTGCCACTTGATGCTATGTGAAATTGTGTAGGGTGTATTTATGTGCATGCTCACATGCATAAACATGGGTCTACGAATTACCTCAGGATTCTTGTTCATTTAAAACAGATATTGCTGCACTTAAACAGCTATATTTTATCTGCAGTATTGTCCCGGGGTAACTGATCTTTGTAATAAAGACTCTGAGTTACTTCGGAATTTATTGATTTATCATAATATTTAGACTGAATTTTATATATTCAAATTACTCAAAAATTGTGATTTACTTTGAGTATATATACACACACACACACACACAGAGTGGGGGAGAGGGACAGAGGGCGGGCAAGGAGGACTCAGAGTTGATCAGAAAGTTTAACCAGAAATTCTCACTTCTGGCCATTTCATAGCATTTACAGGAATTTATTCAGTGTTGTGAGATATCACTTTGCTGTTTAATTTACATGTTACAAAGGCTGTTTTCTATGCGTCCTACCTTAGTGGCACATCTTAACCACCCTGGTGTTGAAGGGACTTCCTGAGATTGGTCAGGCTCGTGGTCAGGGCCGCCATGTGTGGAGCCCAGTGGGGGTGGGGCAGGATGCTGAAGACAGCCACAGGATTCTCCTTGTGTCTTACATTGGTGGCTTTTTGTTGTTGTTTTGATTTTAATGTTATATTTTCATATATTCAGACTAATGTTGTCTTTTTCCCTTCCTTCAACAGGAAGCAGCTCTTGAAGCTCACCTTGTGCCTGTCTTGCACTCTCTCTGGCCTTGGATTTTGATGGATGATTCATTGATGCAAATTTCTCTGCAGCTCCTTTGTGTCTATACTGCAAATTTTCCAAATGGTAAATAGGATCCAATACTGCCTTTCAATAATATGCCAAAATACTAGTTTTATAAATGTCGTTAAGGTAGACTGGAAAAACTAATACGTATTTTGAAGTATTTCTCTGATTTATTGAGGATATGATGGGTAAAGGCAAGCTTTCTCGTAGGTATTATGAGAGCAGACAGATATTTTAGTGTGTTTGTTGCCATGAGAGAGTCACTGGCAGTGCGGGCAATAGAGAGGGAGGACTGGTCTGATTATCTGGCAATGGGAAATTGAGTTTAGTAGGAAAATTGAGAGGATAAAAATTATGATGTAAGACCTCAAAAGCCAAGTGAAGGTTAGAACTTTTTATAGATTCTAGAGCAGGAGACTGGCGTGATGAACGTTAGTTCTCACAACAGTTGGTCTGATGATACACGATATCACTAGGGCTCCTCTTTCGCTCATGCACTTGATCGACATCTTCTCAAGAGCCTGCGGTGGGCCATGCATTGTGAGTTCTGGTGAGAGTGATCTGAAATGAGATAGGAGGACAGGCCATGTAGGGCCTCAGGGGCCACAGTAGGGAGTTTGGATTTTTATGTGAGTGTAACAGGATTTTTATGTGAGTGCAACAAGATTACATTGGCGGTTGTAAGCATGATTTAATTTGTGTTTCAGAAAGATTAGGCTAGGTGTGGTGGCTCACGCCTGTAATCCCAGCACTTTGGCAGACCCAGGCAGGCGGATCACTTGAGGTCTGGAGTTTGAGACCAGCCTGGCCAACATGAGGAAACCCTGTCTCTACTAAAAATACAAAAATTAACCAGGCATGATGTTGCATGCCTGCAGTCCCAGCTACTCAGGAGGCTGAAGCAGGAGAATCACTTGAACCTGGGAAGCAGAGGTTGCAGTGAGTCAAGATCACGCCACTAATACCCCAGCCTGGGCAACAGAGCGAGACTCTGTCTCACAAAAAAAAGAAAAGAAAAGAAAAATTACCCTGGGCGATATGTGGAGAATGGATGATTGGGAGCAAGTCTAGAAGCAGGGAGACTTCTCATGGAGATATAATGGTGGCTTGGGCTTGAGTGGTAGCTGGAGAGATTGAGAGAAGTAGGCAGATTCAGTATATAGCTCAAAGATAGAGTCAAGGATACCTGTTGTGGGAGGTAGGAAGGAAAAAAAGGTGTCCGGGGTGAACTTCATTTGGAGAAATGAGCCTGAGCGCACAGTAGTGCCATTTACTAAAATGGGGAAGATTTGAAAGAAGCAGACTTGAAGTGAGAAAGAAGTAGGAATCAGGAGTTCTCTTTGGTCTTGTTTAGTCTGAGGTGTTGATGTTCACTGAAGTGAAAATAGTAAGTTGGAGTTGAATTCAATGGAGACTAGAGGTAAGTTTGAAGATTTAAAATGTTGGGAATATTATTAGTTATTTATTGCTGCAAAAGAAATTACTTTAAAATTTAGCATCTGCAAACATCAATCATTTCATTATGCCACGGCTTCTGTGGCTCAGGAATCTGGGAATGGCTAATCTGGGTGGTCCTCGCTCAGAGTCTCTGCAATCATCTGAAGTCTTGACTGGGATAGAGGATCCAGTGTGACTATGGGAGCCTCAATTCCTTGCTACTTACGGCTGTCTCAAACGACCCAGAGTGAGTAGGCCGAGGGCAGAAGTTATAGTTTCTTATAATCCAGTCTCAGAAGCAACTGAACAGCACTCCTAGCTCCTGTGGGTCACACATACCAACCCTGGTACAGAGGCAGGGGCCACTGGGACCATCTTGGAGGCTGGCTACCACAGGAGTCATTGTTGTATAGGTTGTATTTAAAGCCATGTGGCTATTTGAGATTACCCAGGGAGAATGTGTAGATGGAGAAGCAGAAATCCATGACTGAGTTCTGAGGCACATTAACATTTGGAGTTAATCAAAAGATGAGAAACCAGCAGAAAAAAAGAGAGAAGGAGCAGCCAGTGAGATAACCAGTGCATAGTCACAGGAAGTCAGAGAAGGGCATGCTCAGTTGTGTGGAATGCCGTAGAAAATTCTACTAAAGTGAGGATAGAAGCAGTGGCCACTGGACTTAGCAGTACTGATGTTCTTTTGGACCTTGAGGGTAATTTTAGTGTAGTGCTGGAACAGAAACCTACTTAGTGTGGGTTGAGGAGAGAAGATGAAGAAGTAGAGGAGACAGCTTTTCCAAAATGTTCTACTCTTAAGAGGATAAAGAAATGGAGCAACAGCAAGAAACAGATGTGGAGTCAAGGGAGGAGTTTTTGCTCATTTTTAAAAATGTATGTTTTTAAGGCATGTTTATTAACTTAAGGGATTGGGAGAATGAGGTATAGGAAAGAGTACAGGTAAGAGCCCAGCCTGAGAGGATAAGAGAGGTGACAGCTAGAGCACAGCGGACAACAGAAGCAGAGGGAAGGCTGAGAGGAAGGATGTGGATTTAGGAAGGCTGGTAGACTTGATGGGAATGATGAGAAAATTCCCATTTTGAATACTTCTGCTTTCTTCATTTAGGAGAGAACATTGACCACTAAGAATGAGCAAAGACAAGGAGTAGAGGTGATGTGAGAAGAGGAGAAAGTGTGAAGTTGCTGTTTTTAGAGGAAGGAAAGTAGGATTGCTGGCAGTGTTAAGTACCAATTTAAAATGTATGGTCATAAATTTAAGATTTGACTAGTTAGCAAGTTTTTGTGCTTTCTTCTAACAACACTCAGTTGCCCAGCAACTGGGGTCTCTAAATATCAAAGGTTATACAGAGAAGGGACTGGAACTCAAAACAGTTAAGAGCCCATCTAGTTACTGCCAGATGCCGATGATGGCTTATTCTTTGAATAATCTCACACCTCTGGAGCTGTCCATTTCGACACCCAACTCAGATTGTCTGCAGTCAGCACAAAGAGATAGAAACAGGCCTTCAGGCTCTTGAACTTGAATTATTATTGAAGCGTATGTGTACAGGATTGTCCTTGCCTTCGTTCTGTGCTGTGAACTTTCTCTCTTCCTGAGGTCTGGTGGGAATGTCTCCAATGTCTCCTTTCAGTGCATTTTCCAGCTCTACTAGTGTGTCTTTTGTTTGTTTACTCATCTTTTGTGAGTTTCTTTTACAGAATATATTGGATTCTGATCAATTTATGCTTAAGTTGGCCTCCTTGTATGAACTTTCACAAGTCAGTTATACCTTAGGTTTACATATAATACAGTCTTATTGATTTAACATTAAAATGTATTTCCAATTTCTTTTTTCTCCCTCAGTAAGTCTCATTCAGTTACTTAATTTCCTGAGAAACACTGGACCCTGGAAAACCTGTAGATGCCACTGCTGGCTCCTGCCATTCTAAGCTATGTGACCTTGAGCAACAAACTGGCTTTTCTGAGCTCCATATCTTTGTTGACCAAATATAGAAAATAGTATTTGTTCTGTCCCCTTTCCCAGGAATATTATGTTCCTTATTTGTATGTTATGTAAAATGAAGGCATTAGACAAGTTATCTCCCATTTCTAAAATTCTGTTCCTCTACACAGGCCTTTATTTAGATGTTTTCTTTAGGAACTATTAAAAACCCTAGTATGCTTATTTCATTCTTTTTAAAAAAATAAACCTGGTGTCTTAAAGTGCTTTGTTGAGATAATTAGGCCCTCATTGAGACAATATATCTATTAGGTTGCATGTAGACACCAACATTAGCCTCTATTGCTAATTTGCAGTTCACAGGTTAATGGCCAAGTCATTTTGATAGACAGATACGCTTTGCCACTTAGTGTCTTCAAAAACTAAACAGGGAAACTGAGAAGACATTGTGATAGGCTGTTATTTTTGAAGGTTGCAGTTCTCTTTGTTGGTCAAGTTGTGGACAACACCCTGTTCAAGCTACACATAGAGGAGCCCTGAGCAACTCTCTGATGCTGTGTGTCCTCAAGCTGGCTTCCCAGATGCCGCTGGAGAACACCACGGTTCAGCAGATGGTTTTTATGCTTCTTTCAAACCTGGCCTTGTCGCATGACTGTAAAGGAGTAATTCAGAAGGTAAGCACTTAAACTCCCCTCATATCTTAAAAGGGTACTCAGTGAAATAATCTTTCCAATCAAAAGTTTACAACTCAGTTTCTAAGATTAATATATTATGATTTTGAGGCATTTTATTTTAAAGGATTATAAAAGGGTTAAGAGGTTCACTTTGTTTAAAGCCAGTTGATAGATGACACGTGCAGAGGGACAGGAGCTGGAGTAGAGTCATGCCATTTCCTTCTCACTGATCTTCTTAGCTTTCGGATTATATTTTATCATTCTCAAAAATGAGGGTTTTAGAACAATAGCTGTCTTACATTTATTGGAGATAATAAAAGTAATATATTGGTCTTTAAACAGACCAAATTGAGCAGTAACAATTTCAGTTTAATTTCATTGACAAAATGGTTTATGAAATCACAGCCCACTTCCCCCAGTTAGACCTTAACTTCCTTATGGCATATTAAGCAATTTTATGAGTTCTCTAGGACTCCAGTTCCCAAACTAGACTCCTCATCACTGATTTTAACTTAAGGTAATTTAAAAGGGATGTAATGAGTTAAATAAATTCTGGTACAGATGTGCACTCAGATTCTGTATTTAGATGTGTATAAACGGAATCCCTAATTAGGAAAATCCCTTCAAATTTGAGTATAATCAGATTATATATTACTTAATAGTATTGTAATTTGGGTGCTTCCATTTCTTTTACTTGAAGGCCAAGATAAATTGTAAAAGTTGAGAAGATTTATAAGAATTGAGTCTCGTTTTCCTGCACTGTTTCTTCTCCCTGAACTCCTCAGAAGATATTTTGTTATCACCACATACATAGAAAGATAGGTTTTTCTAAGGAAATGGAAAGATCAGTCTCACCAAGGAAAGATGTTTTCAGTGGCGCGTTGGAGCCAGCCTCCTACTGACTCATGAGTGTCATCTTAAATTTGCAGGAATTTTATAAAAATTCCAGTTGATGTTACGTTGTTATTTTGAAATCAGCCGCAGTGAGAGTGTCACACCATGTAATTCTGTGAACTGTACAAATCGTGGATCTTTTCTACCCTCACCACAATCAGTTGTTTATTTACCAGCGCATGGCTGGATATTTTCTTCATGTATATGTTCATGTATGTCATATATGTATATATATTTGAATATATTTTCTTCATATATGTATTCATATACATACATCATTTCCAAAATGAGACATTCTCTTGAACTGGATATATGTGATTAGCATCCATAAGAATGAGAGATTCTGCATATGTGAGAGAAGAGCGGGGGCAGTGCTTCCCACCACTTCCTTATGGAGCATGTTAGTGGGAAGCTAAGTGGGAGCCCCAGAAGGAATGTAAGTACCAGTCTCAAGTCTGGTCTCTGACCTTGAGCTGGAGACCTATTCTCTTTCAGCTTCATTTGGGCTAAACAAAATGATCTCTAAGATAAGTTCAACTCTTAATCTGTTATTCTAGTGCTATACTTAAGAATATTTTGATGAAGTGTGATCAGACTCTCCTTCCAGGGACAGATTAATCAAGTCTTTTTCCTCTGCTCTAATTAGGAAATGCCTGAGACTTCCTCTGCTGCATTAAGTAATAATGAGCCCAGACGCTTAACACTTCTACTTCTTCATTACTCATCTGTAGGACATAGAAAATGCAGCAGGTGCTGTTGTACAACTCACGCTCTAAAATATCCTGTTTTGTTTTGTTTTCTACCATGGTATACATATTCTACCTGGTGTAGGAAATTGTCTGAAAACATCTTTAGAAGCAGCAAAAAAAAAAAAAAAAAAGGAGTGCCCACAGCACATTTACATTTGAGAGCACTGACATCTACTCTGTCACCCTTGTCAGTCCCAAATCCAGCAAGAGTTGAATCTAAAAACTATCAGTTTGGCTGAGAGTAGGTGTAAGTGACAGCAAATGCAGCTGAAAGTGGGCATGTAATTTTACAGTTTACTTATTGTGTGGGTAATGTTGATAATATTTCTGTACCTCATTTCATTCTTAACACCCAGAGTCCTTTTGTATAAAAACGTTAAGTTTATTTTATAGATTAAAGCCAACATCTTGATTTTGGTCTAGGAAAACCTAAGAGATAAACTGGAGTAGATTTAAACAGAGAGAAAGAGGAGTTATTCTGTGCAATCATAAAAGTTAAGTGATTGCATTTCATTTCTAAAATGTCCACCTAACTGTGGTTTCCATGCTGCCATGGGCTGCAGCTTGATGTAGCACTTTTATACTTTGCGTATAGATTAGTCTAAATAATTTATTATCTTTCTTATAGTTAAGGGTTTGGTGGGGTTTTGTGGAAGAGGCTTTATTTGGAGGCTGAAAAGACTCTTACAGTGCAAATAATAGAGCTTTCTCATCTGTAAGCGTAATAGAATGACATGTAGCCATCAGAAATTCTTACTTGTAATGATAAGTACCTGGGATAAAGTGAATGTAAGATGTATCTATAGATGTGATAAAAACAACAACACCTGTAGCTACAATGATTCAAAATGCCCTCACTACTTCCAGAGTTGTTAACTAGTATTCAAGACTGATTTGGAATTTTTCCTTTTTTCCTTCCTTAGGGTAGCTTTTAATGACGAGCAAAATCACCAGAAGGCACAGAAAAGAGAAAACTCAAGAAGCCTGAAATAATCTCCAAACTTAATTATCAATTCTAAATAATTAAGAGTTAACTATAGTATACTTCATCCATCATGAGGAAAAAATTAGCAGGAATTAAAACTTGAGCACTATTTTGTTGTTCTTACCTTTTTCACTTATACTTGGAAATCATATAGATGGAGTATTCAGAAGGTATTAGAAAGGATAAATTAATGTAGGGGAAGAGTATATCAGAATGTTAGTTAATCGTTCACCAAGGGACTAGGAAAATAATGAAAAAGATGAGAAGAAAATAATATTCTCTCTATTTATCCACAGAGTAACTTCTTGCAGAACTTCCTCTCTCTAGCATTGCCAAAAGGAGGAAATAAACATCTCAGTAATCTGACTATTCTTTGGTTGAAGTTACTTCTGAATATATCATTTGGAGAGGATGGGCAGCAAATGATTCTGAGGCTTGATGGCTGTCTAGACTTACTAACAGAGATGAGCAAATATAAGCACAAGCGCAGCCCTTTATTGCCTCTTCTTATCTTTCATAATATTTGCTTCAGTCCTGCTAATAAACCCAAGATCCTGGCTAATGGTAAGTATTCACGCACACATATGTTTATATATGTAGTTATTCATATTTGGTGTTCAGATCAACACCAAATAATTTTATAAATAATTTTCTAGGTATTTATTAAGCACCCACTGTGTTCAAGGCACTGTGGAAGGCATGGGAATGAATCAGGCATGGCTTCAGCCTTCCGTGGGCTGCCTGGAGTCTCCTGAGGTTAGCAACTCTTGTCATTCCAGTGCACATACTGGACACCTGGAGGAAGGGGAGTCGTGGACGAGGGCTCCCTGGCCTTACCTTCTGCTCGCTCTCCTCTCTCCTTGCTCTTCCTCTAACTCTCCCACCCCTCCTCTGCATCTTCAAGCAAATGCTACTATGTCAGTGAAGCCTCTCGAGAACCACGTGTTAATATAATAGCCCCAACCCCTTCTTTCTGCCTTCTCTTTCCTCCTCCTCACTATGTCCTTTCCTGGTTTTATTTCCCTCCATAGTATTATTGCCAGCTGATAAGAGTATGTGTTTCATGTATCTGTCTGTCTGTCTATTCCGAGTCTTCCCACATGAGAAAGTAAGCTCTCATGGGGTCAGGAGGTTTTTGTCTGCTTTGTTTGTTTATGTGTAGCACCTAGAATTGTGCCTACAACTAGTGAGCACTCAGTAAAATTTGATGATTGAGAGAGACGCTAAGCAGACCAGAGAGTTCAGGGCTTGAGATCAGATGGTGCAGTTAGCCTTGCAGAGACTCCATTCTCTGAGACGTAGGACAGATGGAGGCAAGGATTGGTAAGGATTCAGAAAAAAATTGAAGCAAAAAGAGTTGGAAAGATCTTTTTCTGCAACCATGTGTTATCGCTGTGAGGAGTATGTGAATTTCACGGGGAGTGAGTTTTATAAAAGACACGTGTTCTAGTGAAAAACAGAAGGTGGGCTGCAGACCCCTACGTGCCTGGTCTTGAATGCCAGCCCCAGGACATCACTCCAGGGTCGCCTGGCACAGCCTTGCTGGGCCCAGCTTCTTCATCTATAAAAGAAGCCCACTATTCTTGGTTTGGTTAAGAATCAGTTTATAAACACACATTAAGTGCCTAGCACTATTTCTGGTACATGATAAATGTTTAAGATAGGTTCATTCTCTTGTTCTTTCATGTTTTTCACTTAATCTTTTCTCAGAGGCATTTTTCTGTGAAATCAAGGGTTTTCTAAGTGTACGAAAATGATTCTTCTTACATTTTGTGGTGTATATAGTTGTGATTCTATTTTTCTGATAAGCATTCTGATAATCAGCTGCTAGATATGATATGGAAAGATGTTTAAAGTTCAGTTAGCTTGTACCAGACCTAACCTTACTGTGGATTTTGCACTCTGCCTTCCACTGGCTGCTGTGCTGATGCTGTGCTCTCTGTTGCTGCGTGATGTGCATCACTGGTTTTATTTCCATCCTCTCCCACTGTATCTGCTTCAGCCCTCACATTTGTAAAATGAGGGTAATGATAATCCCTCCTCAGGGCAATGAGAGAGCCTGTGAAGTGTCTGTGGCCATTCTTGGTATATAGCAGCGACTCAGTAACATCTGATATTGTTTATTCGCCTTTCTTAGAATGATTTTTTTCTTTGGGGACTACTTACTCCAATTTATTATTGAGAGTTGGAAAAAGGTCAAGCTTTTTGGGAACTGAAGGAGATAAGTATGCATTTTCCACTTCTAGATCCCTCTAGAATTATTTTTACCATTTCTTTGTAGTCAGCAATGCTTTTTCTCCATTAGCTTAAAGCAGATGGACAAACTTTGGTGAGAAACTTCCCCTACCCTCACAGACTAGAGATCAGTGGGCTTGAGGCGGGGGTAAGATAATAGACATCAGCTGTGCAGTTTCTGTAGGAACTATAAAAGGATGTCACAGGCTATGCCTCCCTTCCACTTGGGGATCTACAGAGGAGGCCTAGCAGAGTCAGCCAGCTTAAAAGTCTCCCAGGAAAGGCTGCCTCTGGTTGATAGCACCCACACATCTGGTTTAAATCGTCAGGAGTGGAGTGTGCTGTGGAGCTTGACCTTGCTGGTAAAAATTGATCTGGGGCTGGGCACAGTGGCTCACAACTGTAATCCCAGCACTTTGGGAGGCTGTGGTGGGTGGATCATTCGAGGTTAAGAGTTCGAGACCAGCCTGGCCAACATGGTGAAACCCTGCCTCTACTAAAAATACAAAAATTAGCCAGGCATGGTGGTGGGCACCTTGTAGTCCCAGCAGGAGAATTGCTTGAACCAGGGAGGTGGAGGTTGTAGTGAGCCAAGATCATGCCACTGCACTCCAGCCTGGGCAACAGAGTGAGACTCTGTCTCCCAAAAAAAAAAAAAAAAGATCTGGAACCTTCCTTGTTTCTGGTAATGCCGCACTAAGTCTCCTCTGAAAACAGCAGTAACATGCTGCTAGAGAAGCTGTATTGACGCGTGCCTCAAAATAATAATAAAACTGAAAAGATACTGAGAAACTTCCAGGCCAGTTGTGATTGAAAGTCTTGCCCAGACAAGTAAGAAGTATATAGAAAATTATTTTGCCCCAAGTGCATTGGCCAAGATTGTGTGCTTGGCTTTTGTTGAGGAGTATTGAGGGGTGAGAGAACAGAAGCCGCGATTCCCCACAGTGGGGATTCTTACTGGCTATCCTGCTTGTATTAAGCTGGACCTCCAAAGAATCATTCTCTTAATAGATAGATGAGTCAGAAATACGTTGGTTTCCCAAACTTCATGAAGGAGACTGTAAAGAAGAGGGGAAAAAATGTGAGAATGGGTACTACAGACTGCTTCTGACAGGGCTCTGCACCCAAATTTGGCCGTGAACTTGGCTTGAGGTGCCTTCGATTGATGGTGCCTCTGGGTACTTAGCAGAAGCCAACTGCCTTAGTGTTGGATGAAAGACAAGTTCATACTGGGCCTCAGGGAACCTCTACAAATAATTTTTCAAAAGCATTAACCAGTACAAAGTTAGAGATAATCAAGCACATTAGGAGACATGGCAACATGTAGTAAGAAACAGCAGAGGGATAAAAATACCAGCCTATCTGCCCAGACTTTGAATATGGGAATTACAAAGCACGGGTTTAAAAATAACTTTAATTATACCATATTTAGATAAATAAATGACAAGCTTGAAAATTTTAGGAAATGGGAAACTGACAAGTTGAAATATTTGAAAAGAACTAAACAGAACTTCAAGAACTTTACTGTGCAGTATGATAATCAGCCACATGTAGCTATTTAAATTTAAACTAATTAAAATTATTCAGTTGTACTCACTACATGTGGCTAGTGGCTATCTTATTAAATAGCACAGATATAAATATTTCCATTATTGTAGGAAGTTCTGTTTTACAACAGTAACCTAGAACTTCAGTAGCCAAAATTGAAAACTTAATATACATGTCTGACAGCAAGTTAGGTATAGCAGAGAACTTAGGGATTAGAAGATAGATTAGAAAAATATTATCCAGAATGCAGCAGAGAAAGCTAAAAAAATGAGAAAGGATTACAAGAATCACAGGTAAGTGACACAGCAGATATATCAACACAGTCTGTGTGTTCAATGAAGTGTCCTAGGAGAATGGGAGAGGAAATATTTGAAGAAATGATGGGTAAGAACTTTAAGAACTTTTCTAAGACACTAATGTCATCATAACTGACAACTCATTATAATTGCCAAACTGACATCCCTAAACTTATAATTAAACCAATTATATTAAGAAGGTAATATTCAAAGCTCATTACTTTCTAATTATTTACAATTTACTACTGTATATTTGCTTGAGGTTATTTAAATATTTATATGAGAATTCAGACCTACTTGTTAAACCCAAAATTGTTTTATTGCTTTGTAATATGCATGTTTCACAATAACATTTGTTTTGTTAAAAAAGTCAGTCCACTTGCATTATCAGAGGGGCCCACCACGTTAATTGACCTATATATATATACACATACACACACAGTACTTTATCAAAAATGCTTTAAGAGATAGCAGCTGGTTGAAGGAGTTATAAACTTACTTAGATCATAGGAGTTATATATTCTGAGTGTTTGGGACAACATTTAAAAACATCACTTGATGCTATGCAGATAAGTGGACATTTGATTAGTAAGGGGACATTTGATGTGCCCTAATGAGTAGCACTTGCAGCTATAACCGCACGTGATAAATTGCGTCTGCAAGCTACTTACATGGCTTGTTTCTGGGTAGGTGATGATACAGGAAAACCAAAGGGCGTCAGATAGTGCAGATGAGGTGTTCAGGGAGTCGGCTGCAGTGTGCCCGAAGCATCACTGCACCTGCCTTTCACATTGTCCTGCTGTGCGTTTCCAGTTCACGTTACAGAGCAGCTTTTTTAAAAATTTGTTTTGGTTTTTGTTAAGTATTTAAAATCCCTTAAAAAATGAATTATGTAGACAAAATTTTTGTTTATTTTATTCTGGAATCTTTCATGCAACAAGTATTTATTGAGCTCCTAAAATACACTAGCATTGTGGTTGGTCTAATACCAGTGAGCAGACAGTGCTCTCCGACTAACACCAGTGAGCAGACGCTGCCCCCTAACCGACACCAGTGAGCAGACGCAGACGCTGCCCCCAACCGACACCAGTGAGCAGACGCAGACGCTGCCCCCAACCGACACCAGTGAGCAGACGCTGCCCCCAACCGACACCAGTGAGCAGACGCTGCCCCCAACCGACACCAGTGAGCAGACGCTGCCCCCAACCGACACCAGTGAGCAGACGCTGCCCCCAACCGACACCAGTGAGCAGACGCTGCCCCCAACCGACACTCACAGACCCTGCCTTTGAACCAGTTACAGTTTAAATACATGTATTTTGCAGGTTTCGGGGGTGTTGAATGTATATATGGAAAGAATTCGCAATAGTAAGTGTTTCACCTTTAAGAATGCAACACATTCTTGAAATCACAAAATTTAGAGGAAAAATAGTTTGATAAAATTTAATGATATGTAAAATAGGTAATAAAATAGGTTCAAATGTTGTTCCAAAACACCCTGACAATTTCCTTGGAACTAGACTTCTGGAAATCTTCACTTAGTGAGCAGATTGCTGCAGATAATTAGTGAGTCTTGATTTACTACTGGGGCTCACTTTGCAAAAAGAGTATATCTTGTGTGTTGATATAACTTTAAAACACTTTTTTCTCTGAAACATAAACCCACAAATTTCTCTAAAATGTTTAGTCATTCCTTTTTGTATTTATTATTCTTTTATTAAGATAAGTTAATGCTTAAGGGAATTTTGTGCATTTGTCTTTCTATCCCTTGATCATTTTTCTGCTTTATTATTATTATTATTATTATTATTATTATACTTTAAGTTCGGGATACATGTGCAGAACATGCAGGTTTGTTACATAGGTATACACGTGCCATGGTTATTTGCTGCACCCATCAACCCATCATCTACATTAGGTATTTCTCCTAATGCTATCCGTTCCCTAGCCCCACAACCCCCGACCGGCCCAGTGTGTGATATTCCCCTCCATTTGTCCATGTGTTCTCATCGTTCAGCTTCCACTTATGAGTGAGAACATGTGGTGTTTGGTTTTCTGTTCCTGTGTTAGTTTCCTGAGAATGATGGTTTCCAGCTTCATCCATGTCCCGGCAAAGGATATGAACTCATGCTTTTTTATGGCTGCATAGTATTCCATGGTGTATATGTGCTACATTTTCTTTATCCAGTCTATCATTGATGGGCATTTGGGTTGGTTCCAAGTCTTTGCTATTGTGAATAGTGCTGCAGTAAACATACATGTGCATGTATCTTTATGGTAGAATGATTTATGATCTTTTGGGTATATACCCAGAAATGGGATGCCTGGATCAAATGGTATTTCTGGTTCTAGATCCTTGAGGAATTGCCACACTGTCTTCCACAGTTGTTGAACTAATTTACACTCCCACCAACAGTGTAAAGGCATTTCTGTTTCTCCACATCCACTCCAGCATCTGTTGTTTCCTGACTTTTTAATGATCGTCATTCTAACTGGTGTCAGATGGTAGCTTGTTGCGGTTTTGATTTGCAGTTCTCTAATGACCAGTGATGATGAGCCTTTTTTCGTATGTTTGTTGGCCATACACATGTCTTCCTTTGAGAAGTGTCTGTTCATAACCTTCGCCCACTTTTTGATGGGGTTGTTTGGTTGTTTTTTTTTCTTGTAAATTTGTTTAAGTTCCTTGTAGATTCTGGATATTAGCCCTTTGTCAGATGGATAGATTGCAAAAATTTTCTCCCATTCTTTAGGTTGCCTCTTCACTCTGATGATAGTTTCTTTTGCTGTACAGAAGCTCTTTAGTTTAATTAGATCCCATTTGTCAATTTTGGCTTTTGTTGCAATTGCTTTTGGTGTTTTAGTCATGAAGTCTTCGCCCATGCCTATGTCCTGAATGGTATTGCCTAGGTTTCCTTCTAGGGTTTTTATGGTTTTAGGTCTTACATTTAAGTCTTTAATCCATCTTGAGTTAATTTTTGTATAAAGTGTAAGGAAGGGGTCCAATTTCAGTTTTCTGCATATGGCTAGCCAGTTTTCCCAGCACCATTTATTAAATAGGGAATCCTTTCCCCGTTGCTTGTTTTTGTCAGGTTTTCAAAGATCAGATGGTTCTAGATGTGTGGCGTTATTTCTGAGACCTCTGTTCTGTTCCATTGGTCTGTGTATCTGTTTTGGTATCAGTATCATGCTGCTTTGGTTACTGTAGCCTGCCTTGTAGTATTGTTTGAAGTCATGTGGTGTGATGCCTCCAGCTTTATTCTTCTTGTCTAGGATTGTCTTGGCCATGCAGACTCTTTTTTAGTTCCATATGAAATTTAAAGTAGTTTTTCCAATTCTTTGAAGAAAGTCAATGGTTGCTTGATGGGGATAGCATTGAATCTGTAAATTACTTTGGACAGTATGGCCATTTTCACGATATTGATTCTTCCCATCCAAGTGCATGGTATGTTTTTCCATTTGTTTCCTCTCTTATTTCCTTGAGCAATGGTTTGTAATTCTCCTTCAAAAGGTCCTTCACATCCCTTGTAAGTTGTATTCCTAGGTATTTTATTCTCTTTGTAGCAACTGTGAATGGGAGTTCACTCATGATTTGGCTCTCTGTTTGTCTATTATTAGTGTATAGGAATGTTTGTGATTTTTGCATAGTGATTTTGTATCCTGAGACTTTGCCGAAGTTGCTTATCAGCTTAAGGAGATTTTGGGCTGAGACTTTGGGGTTTTTAAAATATACAATCATGTCATCTGCAAACTGAGACAATGTGACTTCCTCTTTTCCTATTTGAATACCCTTTATTTTTTTCTCTTGCCTGATTGCCCTGGCCAGAAGTTCCAATACTACGTTGAATAGGAGCGGTGAAAGAGGGCATCCTTATGCCGGTTTTCAAAGGGAATGATTCCAGTTTTTGCCCATTCATTGTGATATTCGCTATGGGTTTGTCATAAATAACTTATTTTGAGATATGTTGCATCAATACTTAGTTTATTGAGAGTTTTTAGCATGAAGGGGTGTTGAATTTTTTTGAAGGCCTTTCTGTGTCTATTGAGATAATCCTGTGGTTTTTGTTGTTAGTTCTGTTTATGTGATGGATTACGTTTATTGATTTGTGTATGTTGAACCAGCCTTGCATCCCAGGGATGAAGCTGCCTTGATCTTGGTGGAACAGGTTTTTGATGTGCTGCTGGATTTGGTTTGCCAGTATTTTATTAGGATTTTCGCATCGATGTTCATCAGAGATATTGGCCTGAAATTTTCTTTTTTGTGTGTGTCTCTGTCAGGTTTTGGTATCAGGATGATGCTGGCCTCATAAAATGAGTCAGGGAGGATTCCCTTTTTTTCTACTGATTGGAATAGTTTCAGGAGGAATGGTACCAGCTCCTCTTTTTACCTCTGGTAGAATTCGGCTGTGAATCCCTCTGGTCCTGGGCTTTTCTTGGTTAGTAGTCTATTAATTACTACCTCAATTTCAGAACTTGTTACTGATCTATTCAAGGGTTCGACTTCTTCCTAGTTTAGTCTTGGGAGGGTATATGTGTCCAGGACTTTATCCATTTCTTCTAGATTTTCTAGTTTATTTGTGTAGAGGTGTTTATGGTATTCTCTGATGGTAGTTTATATGTCTGTGGGATCAGTGGTGATCTCCCCTTTATCATTTTTTATTGTGTCCATTTGATTTTCTCTCTTTTCTTCTTTATTAGTCTGGTTAGCGATCTATCTATTTTGTTAATCTTTTCAAAAAGCCAGCTCCTGGATTCATTGATTTCTTGAAGGGTTTTTTGTGTCTCTCTCCTTTAGTTCTGCTCTGATCTTGTCTTCTGCTAGCTTTTGAATTTGTTTGCTGTTGCTTCTCTAGTTCTTTTGTGATGTTAGGGTGTTGATTTTAGATCTTTCCCCCTTTCGCCTGTAGGCATTTTGTGCTATAAATTTCCCTCTAAACACTGCGTTAGCTATGTCTCAGAGATTCTGGTATATTATGTCTTTGTTCTATTTGGTTTCAAAGAACTAATTTATTTCTGCCTTAATTATGTTATTTACCCAATAGTCATTCAGGAGCAGGTTGTTCAGTTTTCACGTAGTTGTGCGGTTTTGAGTGAGTTTCTTAATCCTGAGTTCTAATTGGATTGCACTGTGCTGTGAGAGACTGTTATAATTTCGGTTCTTTGGCATTTGCTGAGGAGTGTTTTACTTCTAAGTGTATGGTCAGTTTTAGAATAAGTGCAATGTGGTGCTGAGAAGAATGTATACTCTGTTGATTCGGGGTGGAGAGTTCTATTAGGTCTGCTTGGTCCAGAGTTGAGTTCAAGTCCTGAATATCCTTGTTAATTTTCTGTCTGTTGATGTGTCTAAAATTGACAGTCGGGTGTTAAAGTCTCCCATTATTATTGTGTGGGAGTCTAAGTCTCTTTGTAGGTCTCTAAAAACTTGCTTTATGAATCTGGGTGCTCCTGTATTGGGTGCATATATATTTAGGATAGTTAGCTCTTCTTGTTGCATTGATCCCTTTACCATTGTGTGATGCCCTTCTTTTTCTTTTTTGATCTTTGTTGGTTTATAATCTTTTTTATCAGAGACTAAGATTGCCACCCCTGCTTTTGTTTTTCTTTTTTGCTTGCCATTTGCTTAGTAAATCTTCCTCCATCCCTTTATTTTGAGCCTATGTGTGTCTTTGCACATGAGATGGGTCTCCTGAATACAGCACACCAGTGGGTCCTTGACTGTATCCAATTTGCCAGTCTGTGTCTTTTAATTGGGGCATTAACCCGTTTACATTTAAGGTTAATATTGTTATGTGTGAATTTGATCCTGTCATTATGATGCTAGCTGGTTATTTTGCCAGTTAGTTGATTCAGTTTCTTCATAGTGTCGATGTTATTTACAATTTGATATGTTTTTACAGTGGGTGGTACCAGTTTTTCCTTTCCATATTTAGTGTGTCCTTCAGGAGCTCTTGTAAGGCAGGGCTGGTGGTGACAAAATCTCTCAGCATTTGCTTTTCTGTAAAGGGTTTTCTTTTTTGCTTATGAAGCTTAGTATGTCCAGATA